CAGACGCCACACCTGTAAGAGGAGAATGATAATAATTTTACTGACAGGAGTAAATGAGATATTAAAGGGCATCGAATAACTAGGAAAACCTAAAACTATTCTAAAAGAGAAAGTGCGTTTAAAATGTAGAAAACAAAACAAAAAGAACTAGGAAGCAGCCAACGAACGCCAGCTACTAACTATTACCATGATTGTTATGATTATTACTATGTTATCCTGGCAGGGATCTATTCGGTCACTGCTTTATTGTTCTCCCTCTCCTGGCTCAGGGCTGCCCATTCTGCTGTTTGTCTGAAGCACGTTTAGTAGTGCAGGTGGGTTCATGGTCTCAGGGGAAGCTCTGTCTCTCCACTATTGTTCTAAACTTGCAGGCAGCCAGGCCTGGGAAACAGAATCTTGGTTTCCGAAAGCATCCCGGGCACCCTCTGCCTTTCCGGCTTCTTTCTTCACCTTGTCTGTCCTTCCTCGGAATCTCCTCCGTTCCAGACCTGATTTTGAGTGACAGGCCCATGGATGATTCAGCCCCACCCAGGTCCTGCCAGTGGCCCCGCCCCACTGGTGAAACTTCTCTCCAGGAAACCTATCAGAAGCCCCACCCCTTCATTTTATAACGGAAGATGATTGGATAGCTGCAGGGAAGGAGCACGCCCGACGTCCACCCAGGATGCTGCCCTACGTGCCTCCCCAAGCCCGTTCTCCATTTACCGTGAGTTGTCCCTGAGGTGATAAGGTGAACTTGGAGCCCCCTTCCCCCTGATCCTTGAAAATTACCCAAATTTTGGATTGGATTCCCCACGTGGCCACCAGAGGGAGCATTAGACACGAAGTCCAGTCCTATCCCTCCCCTCCCTACCTACGTGTGGTTTGCCCCCTTCGGCCTCTCTGCCCCCCTCCCACCATGCAACCCCCTCTCTCGACCCTCCGGCCACACTGGCTGTCCCTCAGAGGGGACAAGCTCCCACTGGCCTCCCTCTGCCCCGAAGCTTCCCCAAACATCCCCGTATGGCTTTACTCTCCTTTCCGTCCCAGCTTAAAATCACCTCCTTGACCGCCCACCCCTAACCACAGCCGCACCTGGCTCATGCCTGCACTGGTCATTCCTGGCTCGTATCCTTGCTTGTCGTCATCTATCAGGATTTTTCTACTTTCTTCTGGGTACCACCTGGAGGATTGCTTTCTCTGTCAAATGGAGACAGGCCAGTGATGGCTAATTGTATGTGTCAATTTGACCGGGCTAAGGGATGACCAGATAGCTGGCCAGACGTTATTTTTAGGTGTGTCTGTGAGGGTGTTTCCCAAAGAGATTAGCATTTGAATTGGGAAACTGAGTAAAGATCATCACCCTCACCAAGGCAGATGGGCATCTTTCCAACCCACGGAGGGCCTGAAGAGAACAAAAGGCGGAGGATGGAGAATTTGCTGTCTGCTTGAGCTGCAGCATCTCTGCTCTCCTGTCCTCGGACACTGATGTTCCTGGTATGTCCTGCATGGTGGTATGTGATGATGGCAGTGGACATGTCTTCTTCCAAACATTCCCCAAATGCTCCTGGAACCATTCCGAGTCAGCAGTCCTGTCTTGACATTCAAAGTCTCAGTAGGTGTCATCCCAGGCGAATCCCCAGAAACTGGAAACATTCCACTCAGTGCCAGCCTGGAGCGTTTGTAACAAAAACCCCATAGCTTTGACTCTTTTTCATTTCTTTTATTAGCATCAATATATACAAAGTGGAAAATGACTTCATTATTCTAGCTTAGAAAGTTTGTTTTGCGTTTAATTCTATTTGGGCATAAAATGGAAATGAAAACTTCCCAGGAGAAAGCCTACCTTTGGGGGTTCCAAACAACTCAATAAAACGTGACCTCAAATGACCCAGCGACCTCAAAAACATAGGAAAGTCATACCCTTTGGATTGACCAAAAGAAAGGTCATTTTTGCCCAAGCCTCACGCTCAGCCTACATTTACCCACGTATTTGCCCAGTCCCGTCCGTCTGCTTATACAACCATTTGGATCACGTAGCTACTTTGTTTCCTGCGGGCTGTTTGGCAGCTTCCAAAGCTATCAGCCTGAGGTTCTGCAGGCTCTCCAAGGAGCTGCCTTCAAAATATCATTTTTAAAGCATGTCCGTGGAACTAAATAAGGATGGCCATCAAGTAGCAACCAGAATACTTATGTTGGCTAAATAATTCTACCCTCTACCACCAAAAGAAGCAGAAAGATGAGCCCCAAGCTCAAGAGGGTTGAGTGTGTGCATTTCTAAAGCACAGGGTGGTAGCTGGCAGATACAGCTTATACGAATTAGCATGTAATACGCACCATCACATGCATTCTTTGAAGCTCGAAATCGCTGTAAACGTATTTCCCCGATGTTTTACAAAGAGTAGCCTGTAGGAAGGTTCAGTCTGTTCTCAAGTTTAAGATTGTATCCTGTTCAAAAATATTTAATCCCAGCGGGTTTTAACATTGAGCTTATTAAAAACAGACATGACATGAGCTGAAATGAGATGCCTGGTAAATTTTTGGCACGATTATGATGATTTGTTTTACCTTTACATATTACAAAGACACATTCAGGTATTTTAAAAAGGAAAATAGACACCAACCTGTCTTTTCAATCACACTGTACACTGTCAAGCTTGCATGATCCATCTTTTGACTAAAACAAACTTTTAAAACATGGTCACAAAAAAAATAAAAAAAATAAAACATGGTCACAGGTGCTGTATGACTAGGACAGAACTAAGACATTGGAATCCTGGAAGAAGAAGAAAAATCAACACCTCTCTACCCCATCCAACAGCCAATAAGAACTCCTGGGCCATGGCCTGGCCAGTTTCAGGGAACAGGGTTAGAATAAAGATTTTATATTTTGTCAGTCTTTATGAAAGGCAAATATTTAGTGTTCATGTAACCACAGTATGTTCTAAAATTAAATATCATTAATAGAGTTCTTCATTCTGGATGACCCAGGGTTAGGATTAGAATCAGCATCAAATAGATATAAAAGCAAAGATTTGATCCTGCCTCCAAAAAAAAGTTTGCATTATTTGCATTGCTGGTCTTTCTCCAGACATGACGTTGCTCACTAATGGTCTGGAACATTTCTCCTCTGGTTCTTTCATAAAATGGGGTGGGCTTTGGGCAGCTGGACAGCAGCCTTTTATGATCTCTTGCTGTGCATCATGAATGCATGCTTGAAGGAGCAGACGTGCAGGATTCTTTTCTGGCAGAAGGAAAATATTTGGGCCTCAGACCCCCCCGGTCCCGGCTGGGAGGAGTGTGTGTGTGTGTGTGTGTGTGTGTGTGTGTGTGTGTGTGTGCGCGCGCGTGCGCGAAGCCAACTGCCATATTCTGTTTCAGATGCTTCCTAAGCAAGCTACCAAAACATGGACTCCCAGCCGTTCTCCCAAAGGCATGGCAGCCAGAAAGGTCCTGTTTGAAAACCAGCTGATTTAAAACGATTCTAGAGAGCATGGGAAGGCTCCAAAGAGTACCCCAAAAGCCACTGGGCCGGTGTGCCTCTCTGAGCCACTGGTTGACACTAGGGAGATGAATTAGCCTCACATGCACTTTTCCTTCCAAGCATCCTCACCCCTTGCCTTCTCTTTACACCTATATTTAGAAAAGAATCTTCCAGATAATCACACACTCACCAGTCCTACTGGGTTGAGGTGAAAGGACTCTGATAAAATACCAGGATGTGGGATTAATGAGATGCTAAGAGTTCCTTTCTGGCCTAAAATTCCTCCTTCTCTCCTCACTGGAGTTCACATCGTGTGATGTGGATGCCGTCGTGGCTTTAAGCCCCCCGTTCCTGTTCCGTGGCACCTCTATGGTCAAGCATTCAGACCACCATCCAACATCCGGGCAGAGCTTCAGGGAATAGAAAAGCAGTTTCTTCTCATAGGACCCTCCCTCCCTCCAAAATACTTGATTGCAAGTGTATTCTGAAGGTGCCACCTTTTAGAGTGACAGTGCACTTGAGTCTCCCCTATCTTGAGGGCTCTGGCAGTGCAGCACCCCGGGGGGGAAACAGAGCTCACCCCTGGATTTCTCCCGTGCAACCCAAAGCCTCTTAACACTATGGGCGGCACTGCTCACGCCTGCAAAGACTACGGATCTATCATCACAGCTTGAGGGTGGCCTTGTTGAACAAGGTGATCGATTCTGGCCCTTGGAGCATAAATTACCTGCTCTTTTATCGTTGAAAGGGTATCACGGAAAAGAACATTTTATTCTCTCGATTCCCTCGGCCAGCTTCCCCCTCATCCACTTCTTCGCTGCAACTCCCAGATCTCTCATCTTCTCTGAAAACTTTCCTTTGTCATCTGTCACCTTTATAGAAAGAAAACATTCTCCTAGTTTGCCAGCATCCAGCGAGGCCAGGGTGGTGAAAGAGAACATTTGTGTAACACCTTTGCTGCCTTCAGAGGGGCCATGGGAGGGAGGGGACGGGGCAGGTTCTTTTAGAAGCTGGGGAAATTGGAAGGGAGAAAACAGACTGGTTTTGGAGCAGTGCTGTTTAAGTCTCCATGCTCAATTTCAACGCAAGTTAACCCCACAAGAAATACCCTTTCCAACCTAATCTTGGGACTTAGATTGGTATGAAAAACACCATGGGCATGGATCCTGAAGATGCATGCAATTTGATGCAGCCGTAGCATGGCATTGCTGATACGAGAAACAGCCTGTTGCTGTTTTTTTTTTTCCTCCTCCCTCTACTGCTGTGTTTGCTATTTTACAGGTCCTCCACCTGCCTTCAGGATTGAGGCTGTACCACGAATTTGGCTGCAGCTGCAATACATCCAACCACACCTATTTCGATTTTAAATATAATAAATACAGTGAAGAAAACAGAAAGTCTTCAGTAAAGAGTCTAAAGAAAAGACAGCCGACACTCTGGGCTTTCCATCAAACGCCACATGGTCTCTGGATGAAGTTCTCGAGGGGGCTGTGGTTGAGTTTGTATCTGTAAGTTCCCTTCTCACGTGGAGCTCTCTCTAGATGGAAACTTCATACTCTCTGGTTTCCTGTGAGAGACAGAAGCACAGATCTGTTGACCCCTTGTGTGGCAGATGAATCGTTCTGGATCTTCACCCTTCTCTGTATCCAAGATACTGGACATAGGACTTTGCAGTGCTCTTTACTCTAAACTCGACTTGCTTTTACCAATGGGTTATGGGAAAGTGGGTCATAAGAGGGGCTTGAAAAGTGCCTGTGTGTTTCTGCTGCTGGTGTCCTGCCCTTCTGCCTTCACCATGAGTAGAGCATGCCTTGATGGCCTTTAGCGCCAGCAAGGAGAGTCACGGACAGCAGAGCTGAGTCATCAGCCAACCACAGATGTGTGAGTGAGCACTGCCAAACCAGGACTACCACCCAGCTGAAACTAGCTGAGAACACTGTCCCATGGACTGATGAGCAAATTAACGCTTGTTACTTTGAGTGACTGAGTTTTGGGATTGTTACTCAGCATTATCATAGTGCTAGGTGACTGATACATCTATGAATAAGTCTTAATAAGGTCTAGTTTTTGAAGTGCTATTTTTCATCAGCTTGACCTTCTCTGAGGATTCAGAAACAAGCTATACACAATGTAAAATAACATATGACCTTGTCTTACCAGTGCCGTATCTAAAATGGCCACAACACGTAGGCAGCAACCAGTCCAATTTCTCCAATACTCGTGGAGTGTGTGTAATATACTCCAGGCCCCCAGGGCAGAGGAGTAGGGAGATATAAGAAGTCATAGGCTCGGCCCCATGTCACTGTCACATGCTTTAATGGAGGTCTACAGTTCCCACTGGGTCAACACAGATAAGCAATTCTGTCTGTGCTTCATGGTAGATGGAAGTTTGGGGGGCAGGCTCCAAGGTGGTCCTCATGGTCCCCAACCTCCTGGTATTCACATTCATTGTATGATCCCTTCCCCTTAACTGTATGCAGAACCTATGATTTGCTTCTAAGCAACAGAATACAGCAAAGGTGCTAGGGTGTCACTTCCATGTTTATATTTTGTAGGATTGTGACCTCTCTCTCTCTCTCTCGCTGACTCTGAAAAACCAAGCTGCCATGTTCTGAGTTGTTCTATGGAGAGGGACACATACAAAGGAACTGAGGTTGACAGCATGCAAGAAATTGAGCCCCTTAGTCCAACAACCTGCAAGAAACCGGATGCTATCAACAGTCATGTGAGCTTGGAAGTGGGTCCTTCCCCAGTCAAGCCGCAGATGAGACTGCAGCCTTGACTGACACCTTGATTGTAGCCTGTGAGTCCTGGGGCAGAGGACCTACATAAGCTGTGCCTGGACTCCTGACCTACAGAATCTATGGGGTAATAAATGTGTGTCCTTTAGGCTCCTAAATTTGCAAAAATATTGTTACACATCAACTGATAACCAGCAGGAGGTCAGAGGAAGCAGGAGTGCTGCAAGGTTAGCACGGACAAGAAACAAGTCAAGTTTATGCCCCCAATATTGGGAGATGACTGTACATCATCACACAGTGAATTTGAAGGTTGTGGTTTTGCAAACTCATGACCAGCCTTCTTGTTCTTCACACATGCCTCTGGGCCTTTGCACGTGCTCTCCTGTCTTCCGAAGGCATCTTCTTCAGCCACCTTATATGACTCAGCTTTCTCAAAGATGAGTTGAAATGGCCTTCTCCCATTCCACCATACACACATAGCACCCTGTCCAATTTCTTGCATGGCCCTTACAAATTATTATGGTTTGTTGCAATCAAGATATTCACTGGCATATTTGATTGTTTGAGGTTCAAGGAGAGGCAACAGAGGCTAACAGAGTTTGCATCCTGGCTGCAGGTTGTGTGTTCTGGCTGTGTGTAATCTTGACCAAATCGTTTTTCCTCTCCCTGAACCTCAATGTCCTCATCAGCCAATCAGAAATAACTAGAGAATCCATCACAAAAAGTTACAAGGATTCAAGGGGATTATGCATTTAAGGGGCCTGGCCCGTAAGATTACTATTACCATTACTGCTACTACTACTACTACTATTGATGTCAGTCTCCTTTGTGAGATTATCAGCTCATTAACGCAAAGACTGTGTCTATTTGGTTTAGCTGTGTCCCTAGTACCAACACAAGGCTGCTGCTCAAATGTGTGGATATGGTGCACACTGCCATTCAATAAGGAATGTAGTTTAATAAGATGTTGGGAATGCTGCCCACTGCCACCAGGCCACCGCTGGGCTCTGACCCATTTTAGCTGTCTCTCCGTGGGTCTCTGGTGCAGCCCCTTCTTTCTGTAACCATTCTGCTAGGAACAAAGAGTTACAGGCTTGTCATCAATTCCTAGAACGAGCTGAGTTCTCCAGCAGTTACCTCAATAGGGGTCTTGGCGGGGATGAGACAGGAGGACGACTGGCCATGCCTTTCTGCCAGCAGCACTGTGAGCAAAAGGAAATTAAACCTCCCGTTTTGATGTCGATGAATTCAGAGCAAAGAGGGAGGCACCAGGGAGAGAAGAGAGACCCACTCACCCCTGTCTCATAAATGGGGTTGTCAAACTCGGTTTCCACGGTGATCTGGCTGTAGGGGTGGGAGTACATCAGGGGCAGGCGGAGGTTGGAGTAATAGCGGCATCTGGAGAAGAGACGGTGAAGGGAAGAGAAGTTACTTTTCCTGGACGAGGAGACACCTTACAGTCCCACAGGGGAACGGTGGGTGCCACTTCCTGAGCATGGGCACCTCCACGGATAACAAGGAGGATGTGTGGAGACGGCCTCTTGTAGGTGAGAATCCGACTGGGGTAAAAGCTGAAATCATAATCGCTCTCAATTTCTAACCCAGTCAGTGATCCTTAAAACCCCGGACCTCCCCTTACTAGAGCTTAATGTGTTTTCTCCTGTAAGATGATACCAGTCCCTCTTTAATGCAAAGAGCAAGCGCAATAATAATGAGCATTTATTAAGCATATACTGTGTTGCCTCAGAGCAGCCTTCCCTGACCACCTATTTAGATCTGGTCTCTGTTCCCACACCCTGTCTCTTTCCTTTATTGTGTTTATTATCGTGTGTGATAATGTGTGTATTTCTCCTCTCCCCCTTCCGGACAGTGAGCTCCACAGGGACCATTTAGAGTAGGCAAATACCTGCCTCAGGGCCTTTGCACATGCTGCTTCTCTGCCTGGAATCCTCCTCTCCCAGATATCTGCATAGTTTACTCATTGTTGCTTTCAAGCTCTTACTCAAATGTGATTTCTCGCTGGGGCCTCCTCTACCCCTCCCCCACTTAAAATGCAACCACTGCCTCACTCCAGTTCCCTTTTTCTCTCTTCTAAGTTTTCTTTTTCTCCCTGCATTTTTCACTTTCTAATGTACTACTTACTTTTATATTATACTTTACTTATTGTCTCTCTTCCCCCATGAGAACCTGTGCCCCACATGTCAACGATTTCTTTTTGTTTTGTTCATGACGATGGTCTTAGAGCCCAGAAAATGGCCTGGTACAGAGTCGGTGCTCAATAATTGTGAAATTGAACGAATTAGTGAATGTGCTAGCCATAGATGAATATCTTCCTTCCTTACTAAAGGCACGTTCTATGATCCCCGACACCTGGGACAATGACATTAGACTGTCAATACATAGATGTTGAATAAGTGAGGGAATGGATGAGTGAATGAAGGAAAGAATGAGTCAGTGTGCCTGGCAATAGGAAATGTCTCTCTCTCCCATTAAACATTAGCTCTGTGGGGTCAGGAGAGTGTCTGTCTGATTTGTTGCTGCATGCTCAGCCCTCCTACCATGAAGGGTTGGCAGGCGCACGATCTAAATATTTCTGAGTTGAATTGAATCACACCATCCCTTCAATCACACAAATCCCACTGTCCCCAAGAGTGGAGACCCTGGGGCTCAGGGTCCATGACGAGCCCAGCCCCTCAGCACGCTGGTTGCCGAGTGGGTGAGAGCCCCACTCCCACCCGAAGCCCCATACCTGGTGATGTAAATGTAGGCTCCTCCCAGCAGTAAGGAGATGAGGAGGGCCGGGATGAAGATAGCCAGTGCCACGTTTCCCCCTTCCAGAGACGTCTCGGCTGCCGCTTCTGCTACTAAACGCACAAGCCGGTGAGGGCCCCTGGCTCCCAGGGGAGTTCCCGCCCTCCCAGCCCTGCACCCACTCCAAGACCTAATGTCACAGAGCCAGCCACTAGAGCACCATCTCCAGAAGGGAGAAGAGGCAGAGAGTAAAGGAAATGGTGCCCCAGACCTATTCTTGGATGGGGTGGTCATCAGTTGAAATCTGGTCAAAATCCAATTCCAGGGAAGACCTGGAGAAAATCCCCAACGTGCTAACTGGAAAGGCAGATTTGCTTGACAGTCCATGGAGAAGACAGAGTTGTGTCTAGACTGGCAGGTCCCTCCCAGACCTGCTCAATCAGACCCTCCAGCAGAGGGCGCTGGGCAGCTGGGTCAGTGCTCGGTACCTGCACACCTCATGACACCCCAACTGCACACCCCATGACACCCTAACCATGAAGACACAGTTTTCATCCTCACAGGCCACGGCTGCACACGCTCAGGCAACCTTCTCGGCCTCACCTGGGGCCTCCCGCTACCTCCCAGTGGTTAGAGGAAATCACAAGAATTATGATGATTATTGTGGAGGTAGGGGCGGGGAAGAGGGCGTTTTCCGAGAAAGGCTTGAAGGCAGACTCCACATCCCTTCTGGACACACTCTGCAGTTCTCCACAGCCACGTCTAACGGAGCTCAGCATTACACAAATCTGCAATCCGTTAACCACCACTCCTTGAGTCTGAAAAATCAGTCTTAATACCCATGATAAATGTGCGAGCCCCGAACATTACGATGGCATCACACCCTCTGAGCAACCCAGGCCTTTGAGATGTTCTCATGGTCCACCGGCTGGTACAAGACAGCAAAGGAAGGGCCTGCATAGAGCCTAACACCACAAATGCCCTTCTTCTAGCGGAGTGACTGATACATGCTCCCCACAGCCTACACATGTATTTGAGCTCCGGCTCTGTCGGCTTGGATTAAAATGTCATCTGTTGCAGAAGAGAGCAACTAATGACATGTAATTTCCACTGCCCCAGATTCTGAGTGAACAATTTATTGTCAGAAAGATAAGTGGCTCCAAAAATAATTTAAAAAACTGTCCAATTGGTTAAAACTTTTTTTTTAAACAAAATGTTATTTTTTTCCTGACACGACAGCCCAGTGAGTGCTTTTGTACCAAACTGAACGAAGGTTATACAGAATGCAGAACATTTTACATGTGGGATGCATTGAAAAGGGAAGATAAAACAAAATCCTGGATCACTTTTAGCATCTGTTCCACATTAATAAATCTCACTTGGTAATTTCTAACAAGAACAGAAAACAAGGGGGATCCAGGGATAGCTATTTTGGGGAAGAAAAAGACGGAGGGGAAAACAGACCACAGAGCATCCCATGGGGAAGACCTTTCCTTCCCGAAACCAGGAGCTTGCTCAGCATGAAAGGTGAGGCATCTCTGGATTTAGCTCCCCCAAATAGCACCACATGGCTGAAAAGTTTTACAAGAGGGTGTGTGTTTCTCAGGCACGTGAACTCCCAGATGTTTTTACCTCGTCATCGTGAACAGAACGGGCGTCAAATCTCTTTCAGGTCATAGTTAGGACTATAAGTTGCAAATTCAATGATTTTCTTTTTCTTTACAATGTCATTTGTTTTGAAATTATATTCAGCAGTGTGAAGGCAGAATGTTTGCTTAATTTTCTGTTAAGCGCCTCGATAAGGATCTCCAAGGACCTTCCCTTGCTTTCTGCTATTAGCTTGGTTTATGGGATTTTTTTCTTTATGGGACTCACCTTCTAAAGCGTGTTCAAAGCTGTCTTGATTAACTGAAAGAGAAATTGGAGCATTGGTCAATGTCAAGTGAATTCACTCTGTTTGCATGAAGCCCCCCCCCCCCCCACAAATTAGGTGCAAAAAGTCCATTCCATGCTTTGCTGTAGTGCTGTGGTTTTGTTTGTTTATTTTTTTTTAATCTTAGGCTACTAGAATTAATGGAAATGCCTCATTCCCTTCCTAAGTTCCTGAGAGAAGATGAGACAGTTATGAAAGGAAAAGGACAATAATTACTGAATACTCACCATATGTCAGATACTGGGCATCAAGAGCTCTATATATATTTGCTCACTTAACACTCACAACAATCTCATTAGGTAGATACTATTCTCATCCCCATTTAACAGATAAGCAAACAGAGGTTCAGAGAAGTGAAGTGATTTCTCTGATACCACACAGCTCCTAAGTGATGTAGGCAGGATTTAAACTTGCTTGGCTTTCTTGGGCCTTTGCTCTTAACTACATAGTCCTGGTCTCTTCAGTGTTTCTGTGTCGGACCAAGGCTGATGAATGGTGAGGGGCAAGACAAAATTCCAAATCCGAAATCCTGAGCCCAGCCAGAGGTGAAACTGTTTTCCTGCTTTGAAATATACATTTATATGAACCTTTCTAATTTCACTTTTATTCCATATTGATTTGGAATATAGGATTTTTATTCCATATTTTAATTCCTTCATTGTCATAGACTGGAACTCTCTGGAGTTGGTTTATTCCCCTGGATTCCCTGTACAACTTCTCTGGAAGTTCAGGAGGATGGGGGCTGGTGTCTTCACGCTTTGGCATCCAAGTCATCATGATACTTGAGCACAAAAATATACCCACAGGGACGGGGTTCAGGGATGCAAAACCCCCAGAGTGAAGGGCTTCGATGGAAAGATTGCATGATAAGGTTGTGGGAGGAGCTGGCCCCCAAAGGCCCAGCAATAGCCGTGTCCTACATAATACGGAGATTTCCTAGTTAGAGCTTGGGTCAAAGTGACTCTCTGACTTTCATCGTTATCATGTGATGATAACAAAACCAGCCGACAAAAAAGCTAACTAACTAACTGACTGACTGCAGACATCTCTGGAGCCAGGGCGTTAGGAAAATGGAAAGATTAAGGCAGATGCTTCCTACCCAAGACATGAATGGGACCTTGATTGCGTGTCTGAGAGGGCATGAGCTTCCATGAAATCTTAGAAATGGAAGGAAATGTTGAACCTCTGAGTGTGATCAGTGGGCCCCGGGGGCACGTGCTAAGAGGCAGCTTCCCGGGCCCTTTCCTGGACCTGCCAGGGCAGCGTCCTTGGGAACCCAGGGCCCCTGAGTCCCAGGGGGTGGTCTCACACTGGTACTCTGTCATTTCTCCAACTCCAGACCACAAACGATAGACCCCACTTTTTGGGGGAAGAGGAAATGATTTATTATTTCATTACAGAGTTGGCAGGGTGGGTCACAGGAGTGGAAGTGGAGAGGAGAGAAAAGGGCAATGGTCTCCCAAGACAATGTCTTTCCTGCTAGATGGTCTGTCGTACCTGAGGGGCCAGGACTGCCTCACCCGGTGGGGTTTCAAAGGCAGGGCATTTATAATTAGCAGAAGTGGGTTCAAATCCTAGATTTGTCTTGTACCAGTTGTGTGGTTTGGGATAAGTCACTTAACCTCTGTGAGCTTCTCTGTCCACATTTGTGAAATGGGTATGACGGCTCACCTATCTCAAAGTACGGTCACGAGGCTTCAATGAGGTGATGCAGGGAAAACCTTTTTTTACAGGTACAATTCACATAACATAAAATTAACCATTTTAATTCAGTGTCCAATTCAGGGGCATTTAGTACATTCACAATGTTGTGCAAGCATCACCTCTACCTAGCTCTAACACATTTTCATCATCTCAAAAGGAGATTCAGTATCAATTAAGCAGTTACTCTTCCCTCCCCCGCAGCCCCTGGGGAGCTCTAATCCGAGTTCCATCTCTATGGATTTACCTATTCTGGGTACTTCATTCGAATTGAATCACACCATATGTGACCTTTTGTGTCTGGCTTCTTTTCACTGAGCATAACCTTTTCAAGGTTCATCCATGTTATAGCATTCCTTTTTACAGCTGAACAATATTCCCTTATATGAACATGCCACATTCTGCTTATCCATTCACCAGCTGATGGACATTTGGGTTGTTTCCATCTTTTGTGAATAATGCTGCTACGATCATCTGTACAAGTGTTGGTTTGAATACCTGTTTTCAATTACTTTGTACCTATACCCAGGAGTAGAAATTCTGGCCCGGAAAGTATTTTTAAGCCTTAACGCTGAACTTCATGAACGAGCATTTGGGGATCCGCTAAAGTTAGGGGTTCCCAAGTAGAAATGTAAAACTGCATGTTTCGGTTCCCCCGGGGGAGAGAATTCAGAGCTTTCTGCCTGATTCTCAAAAGGGTACTAACACCATAAAAGGTTAAATCCACTTGCCTAAAGCGTTGAACATACTTAGGATATGATTATGAATTTCACACCTCAGAGACACGGATAAATGGATCCAAATCTCACTAGGTGTGCCCTAACTTAATTTCAACGATGAGTGGTTCACTGATTCGAAAATACACTTCCCCCGCTTTTCACCATCTCTGAGATGGGGGGGTGTCTTACAATCACTAGGGTATTACAATCGCTGCCACCAGGTGGCGCTCAAGATGCCTGTGCTTGTGCAATCATCAGCCCAGGACAATCAGTACCTGGAGGATAGGTGTGAGCATCTTGGGAGAACGCCGAGGCGACAGGGGAACACCCATCACCCTTGGGAACCAAGTGGTTGTGAGAAGGGGGTGCAGGAGGCGGGAAACATTTCAGCCACGCTGTCCAAGCAGGAGTCAAAAGCAGGCTGCCTCTCCTTTATGATAAAAACCTAAGCTCTTTTAGTAAGCAAAAACAAAAATGCTAAGCAAGGAGAAGGCACCGTGTCATAGTTTAATTGGCAGCCATGCCCTTTCTCAGCAGTGCAGAAAATAACGGTGGTGTCTTAGATTTAATGAAACACAGTAGCCTGGCTTTTTAGAGCAAGTTTAGAATCGCTGCAAGTCAGTCTTTACATCTCTGGGTCCTTCATTCCCCGGGACTCCGGGGGTGGGGAGGCGGTGGTTTCTTTACCTTTACAGACGGGCAGTGGCCCATTCCAGTGGGATGGCTGTCCCAGGATGCATCGAATGGTCACTTCGCCCATAAGCTCGAAGCCCTCATAGCACATGAAGGTGAGGGACTCTCCTGGCAGGTAGAGTCGTTTGTACAGGATTTGGTAGCCATTTTCAGGTAACCCTGGGTTGTCACATGCCAGGGACTCCTCCGCTGAAATGCAAGCCAAAAGGAGCTCTGATGAGACGATGTAAATCTCTGGGGACTCCTACTCAGAGCCTGTGTGATCTGAGGCCAGTCTCTCCAGCATCATTTCTCTGCATCCCCACCTTTGCACTGAACTGTTGCCCACTTCTCAAACTCCCCTTTCCCTCTCCCACCTCTGGGCATGGGTTACACATGGGCACAGTAGGATATACTGAGCTGTGGAATCTGGGTTAAAAATCTGGGTTCTGCTACTTACTAGCTGTGTGACCTCCAGCAAGGGCCACAACCTCTGTGAGCCTCAGTTTCCTCATCAGTAAAATGGCAATAATAGCAGCACCTATCTCACAGGGACTTGGAAGATTAAACAAGATAACGTGTGCAAATGCTTAGCACACCCTTGAAATGTAAGTACTCAGTAAATAATGGACGGTAGTGTCGCTAAATTATGAAATATTCCTCCTGCTTCTCACCTTATACCTCACCTGCCCACACAGCCGGGACAAGTCTTGTTTTTCAATACTCAGTCCTCATATCTCCTCCTTCAGGAAGCCTTCCCTGATGCTCCCTACCCCTAATTGAGTTACTAATCTCTCCGGCTCTTCCTCCACCACAGCATTTAATTATTTACTATCAGTCTCCCTCACTGGAGATGAGCCTGTTCAGGCATGCTGGAAGCTCAGGGCCTGGTATACAGTAAGAACACAAATGACCCTAACATATATAGTAGGAGCATCATAAATGACACTTGCTAGCTTAAGACTTATTGGAGAGTTGAACCTGACAGTTTGACCCATTCCAGGGCCAGCGTGTGATCTAGTTCCTTTTCAGCACCTGGATGGACTGGAAAGCCAGCAAAAACTGCTGTGCACACAAGGCTACACATCCTGAAACATTAAAAAGTCTTATTATTAAAAAATTTAAACTGGGTAAAATCTACATAATATAAAATTTACCATCTTAACCATTTTAAGTATACAGCTCAGTAGTGTCAAGTACATTCCCATTGTTGTACAATCAACCCCCAGAACTCTTTATCTTCCCAAATGGAAACTCTGTCCCCATTAAACACTAACTCCCCATCTCCCCTCCCAACCAACCCTTGGCAACCACCATTCTACTTTCTGTCTCTATGACTTTGACTACTCTAGGGACCACATATAAGTGGAATCATCCAGTATTTGTCTTTTTGCGACTGGCTTATTACACTGAGCATAATATGCTCAAGGGTCATCCATGTTGTAGCTTGTGTCCGAATTTCCTTCCTTTTTATGGCTGAATCATATTCCATTGTATGGCTGGACAAACATTTTGTTTATTCATCCACCCGTCAATGGACACTTGAATGGCTTCCCCTCTCGGCTCTTGTGAATAATGCTGCTATGAACATGGGTGTGCAAATACCTCTTTGACACCCTGCCTTCAATTCTGTGGGCGGATACCCAGAAGTGGGATTTCTGGACCATACAGTAATCCTACGTGGAACTTTCTGAGGAACCACCATCCCGTTTTCTACAGTGGCAGCACCATTTTACATTCCCACAAACAGAGAACAAGGGGTTTTCCGCCAAATCCTAAAACATTTTGCTCCTCCTGGATCTTGCTTTGCTGTACAAAGACCCAAGTCTTTACATATCACAGCTGCACCTGCCATACATGTTTCAGAGAAACAAGCTTCTGTCCACAGCTTCCAATACTCACTTGATTAGTGAAACTCGGAAGAGATGACACGCTGCCTCTTTTACCTGAAGGATTCCTGTAATATCTGAGTGATTTTTACAGTTCACTAGTGTAATCCCCCAGCTTGCCATCATCCTGACTCTGCAGGCCCTCGGGTTTAGAACGTGGAGCAGGTGGGTCTTTTATTATTTCACACCTGGTGATTCCACTGCGCTTGGAGAAGAGGCAGGCTCTCCGGATTGGGCCATTAGGGCTCTGTCCATCTGCTTCCTGCTTCCCTCTCAAATGGTTCCTCACTTTACGTCGAACTAGTCACATTCTGCCAGACGGGTTACTCTGTTTCACCCCTTTGTGCTTTGCCTATGCTGTTCCCTCTGTCTGAGATGCCCTTCCCCTTCCTATCTAAAGGAGAGTGACATAAATACACTACCATGTGTAAAATAGAGAGCTAGTGGGAACCTGCTGCATAGCACAGGGAGCTCAGCTTGGTGCTCAGTGATGACCTAGAGGGGTGGGATGGGGAGGGGGGTGGGAGGGAGGTCCAAGCGGGAGGGGATATGCGTATACATGTAGCTGATTCGCTTCACTGTACAGCAGAAACCGGCACAACATTATAAAGCAATTATACTCCAATTTAAAAAAAAATAAAGGAGAGTGCAGTGGAAAGGCTAAGACAGCCCTTAATAATCTTCACCTGCTGGTATTAACGCTCTTTGCAGCTCTTTGTAGCAGGACCTGTGACTCACTTCCAACCAATAAAGTATCAATACAGCAAAGACAAAGGGCTGTCACTTCCGTGAGGATGTTCTATAAGACTGTAGTTCTGTCTTGCTAGCAGACTCTCCACTGTCTTTGGAGTAGGAGCTCCAAAGCTTGGAAGTGGATCCTTCCCCCAACTGAGCCTTCAGATGAGACTCCAGCCCCAGGTCTCTCTTATGAGAGATCCTGAACCAAAGGACCCAGTTAAGCTGCTCCCAGACTCCAGACCCACAGAAACTGTAAGATAATAAATATGGGTTGTTTCAAGCATCTTATTTTACAAGGCAGATCTCAAGAATTCCCCCAAGGAGCCAGATCTGTCCCCAGCAGCATGAATTCCCCTGTTCTTGGAACCCTGTTCTATAACCTTCACAGACCTCCAACACAGCTTCAGAATCTTTTATGGCACTGTTTGATTCTCACCTTGCCCACTCACTCCCAGGCTGGAAACTCATCTTACGTGCATGCCAGGAATTCCAGTGCCTAGCACCTTGCCTGGATCACAGGAAGCATTCATTCATTCATTGGGTCAATGAATGTTTATTGAACACCTATTATGTGCCAACACATAAGCAGCACTGAGGACACAGAGGTGAATACAACAGATATAACCCCTCACCCCATGGAAATTGTGGATGGCACATAGTATAACAGAAGTCCCTATTTCTCTGTGAATTTGACGTACACGTGGGCTCTACTTAGCTTGTGCAAATCAGGGTATTTCATGTAATAATCTGAATTTCTGGCTTCTTCTGAAACATTGGAAGATAAGATAATACTGGGTTCACATAACTACATGGCAATGATTGTGACCTGGAGCCCAAGCACTCAACTCACATGGCGTTGAGTAGAAGCTGTCCCCCTTAGATAAGAAATATGTTCCCCAGTTAGTCACAATCCTTACCACTCCTTATTGTTCGACACATGGTACCTGCCTGACATTTAGGAAGGCATTTTAATGTACCACCTTTCCAAGGAACAAATGAATGAATGACTATGTTTTAGTGACAGTAATCACCACTAATGAGGAATTGGAGCTTTGATCTCTTTGAATGGGTGGGTCAATAGGGACCTGGCCTAGAAGGTTCCTAAGGTTCCTAGGGTTCCAACCTCTTGAGGTTGAAAGATTTTTTTCTTTGTAATTCAATAGCAGCCTTCATCAGGGCCGAAGAACTGTTTTCTTCCCATACCTGCAATCCAGGAAGCCAGCCTGTAGAAAGGGACTTGCTGGGTCGCTGGGTGGCTAGGGGTGCATCTTGCACGACAATGCAGATGCACCTTGGCAGGCGCTCGAGCTTTTATTCAGAAAACATTTAGCAAGTGTTTACTGCATGCCAGACAACGCACCCAGCAGTGGGGCCAGAAGGTGAATCAGACACCATTCCTGCCCTCCAGAGACTGTGGTCTCAATGCTTTAAGCGGGCAAACAAATGTAAATGGACAATTAAACAAAAAGAGACGGCAGCTGCTGTCAGAGAGAGAAGCTCAAAAGAGTAAGGGGCACCTGGAGGAGACCCCCTAAGTCATCGGGGGCGGGGCTGTTAGAGCAGCTGAGAGAGAGAGGCAGAGATATTGACTAGCATTCCCTTCAGTTCAGACTCCCAGAAATGAGGCACCAGGTGGTTCAGCCAATGCCTGACCAAAGCTAATACCTCCACTAAACCAAGGTCATCTCTATGGTTGAAGTTCATCCACGGGCACTTGAGGACAGCCAATGTTAACCATGTCTGGGCCCCCGCTCAAACCACAATGCCCTCCTTCAATCAATCACGGGAACCCTTAAAGACAGCATTGTATTATGCGTCCACGGAAGACAACTAGAAGGACTGGTAAGGTATCATTAATTAACCTTGCAGAGTGTGCCTGGGGTATGAGCTGTAGGAAGGGAAATTTTTCCTTTTACATTTTATAGTCCTTTATAGCATACTGATGTACTGTTTTAAAAACAGGTTGGGCACGCCTTACTTTTATAATATACACAGGCAATAACATCATGACCCAAACCCTGCACCCATGTCCTAACCATTCCTCTGAAAGTTTGCTCTTCAACCTGGCTGGGCTCTGTGGAGCTGGGGTTGGCTTTTACTCACTGCTGCATCTTCAGCAGTCTGGCACACAGTAGGTGCCCAATAAATGTTTCTTGAAAGACCTTACATCAATTCAACTGAAAGAAGATTACAGAATAGAAGTTCTTGGGCTCAAGTGCCTAATGGCCCGGGATTCAGATCCTAGTTATGCACCTGTGGGTAAGATATTTGACCTCTGTGAGCCTCAACTTCCTCATCTGTGAAATGGGATGGCTCATAGGGTTGCTATGATGATGAAATGAGCTCATGCACGTGAGGGTGAGCAACATATATTAGCACCCAGTAAACGCTGGTTATTTTTCTGGGTTTTACAATTTTGGTCATACTTTCAACCCAACTTTACTTAATCTTTTAAAAAATTTCTATTAACTTATTTTTCCATTTAAACAGTGCTACATAATTTAGCCTCACCCCAAATAATAACATTCTTATAATCACAGGTTTCAAACGTCAGTTTTATTTTTAAAGATTTTCTTAACATTG